AAGCTCATAGCCTCCTGTATTAGTAATACCTTGTTGGCACAGCAAAACGTGCAAAGCCAATGTGAGTTAGGCTTCGAACATCTTTTGTATGCGGTGGGACTTAAGCGGGTGCACATTTTGTGGAACCACTTATGGCATTCGTCACACTGCATCCCCTCTTCCACAGGGAACAAACAGTTTGGCTACCCACATTTGTGAGTCTTACCAACCATTGTAATTCGATTTAAAAGGTTTAAAAACAAAAATGATAACAATATGAACACAAGTGTTAGTCAAGGACTAAAAACAGGTACTCAGGAAAAAAATGTAGCAAAAATTTCAAACTTTAACCAAAGAACTCTTAGTTGAAGTCGACCAAGAATGCTTTTTAGTGCAATAAGTACCAAAAGCAAGTATAATCACAAGTACAAAATTCACTGCCCTTTTTGAAATCGCGTCTATACAGTTTCTCAAACTGTCCACTAAAGCTACAAGCAACCTACAATCATCAAGAACCGCACTCTTCGTTTGCTAAGCTGCAAAAAGCACTGTTGGGCAGAATAGAAACGAACTGACAGCAACGGTGCGTACAAGCAATACAAACATATAAGGAACATATGTACGAAGGCTAAAAGAGAAGACAGGCTTCAGTACCAGATAAAGCTTATGGATAAATTTGTCTTCAATCCGAAAAGCTTATTGCGTTACACAGCCTCTTCGTCAAACCAAAACCGGAGTTTCCCAACTGCTAGGTAGTAATGGCCCGACGAATAACGACGGCGACGCCGCTAAACTTTTGGCTGAACAATAATCTTTGACATTTTAACCGACCCACATCAACTATATTGATGACGGCTTCATCTGCAACTGCACAGGACTTTCCGAAATGAACCTGAGCGTTGATTGGTGTTCCGGAAACTGCAGCACCTAAGAAAAAGCACTTCTGGCTCAGATATGGTTCATTTTGACATACTGAGGGAAGCAGCCGCAATCCTGGCAACACCGCTTAGCGCGATGTTCACGCACTCGCTGAGCCGAGACAAACTACCGGAAATTCGGAAGCTGGCTGACGTCACACCAATTTTCAAAGGAGGTCGACGCAGCGAACCTTCAAATCACCGACCGGTGGCTCTTTTCTCTATACCTTCAAAAATCATGTAGTCCCCGATATGAGATGGTATACATGACTATTTACTGTCCTTAAATTTCTTCTCACCCTAACAGCACGGTTTCAGGAAGGGTTACTCTTGTATAACCAACCTGCTGACTGCGGTGGTCAGATGGACAAGCATCCTTAATAACAAGGGAAAGGTTGATATCATTTACCTTGGACTCTCAAAAGCTTTTTATAGGGTTAACCAAATATGTCTTATCAATAAGCTCAGACGATTGGGTATTAGACCACCTCTAATCAATTGGCTTACTTCATATCTGAAAAATCGACATTTTAATGTCAGAGTTAACTTCACTTTATCTCAGGCTATGGAATGTCCTAGTGGGGTCTCTCAGGACTCAGTACTAGGGCCTCTTCTCTTCCTGATCTATATTGATGATCTTTCACAACACGTGTCGTCAGACTTATTACTTTTTGCTGATGACGTGGAACTTTGGAGAGAGATACGCAACCGAGACGATATGTAGGCACTTCAGGGGGATCTGACTCGACTTCGAAGTTGGGCAGACGATAACGGACTTACCTTTAACACTTTAAAGTGTAAAGTAGTCCATCTGCGACATGTCGCAAACTACAGTTACAACTTGGGAAACTCCTCTCTAGAAGTATCCCAAGTCGAAAAATATTAAGGAGTCCTGGTGCCCTACGATTTAAAGTCTTACGCTAACTGTGACAAAAATGTCTTCCGAGCAAACCTTGCACTGGTAACATTGAAGTGCATTTTTGGACAGTTTGACGGACGAACTTTCCATATAATCTTCAACAGTTTTATTCGTCTCCACTTAGAGTACGGAAACATAGTATTCCTCCCTCACTTCAAAAGGATAAGGCCACTTTGGAGCGTATCCAACGGCGAGCCACGAAATCAGTTCGAGGACTTAAATTCAAACCTTATGAAGAGCGCCTCCAATCATTTAATCCTTCTAATGGATTACAGTATCCTTAACACTTCCGGACATCCCCTTAAACACCTACTTAAGCTTAGTCCGAATACAAACCTAAGGGGTAACACCCAGGAAATGGAGATACAACATAGCGGAACGGACTGTAGACACAACTTCTACTCCTTAAAAGTTGTCAAATGCGGTAATTCGCAGCCGACTGAACTAGTTGAAGCGGCTTTCCAGGAGTTTTTCACGAGGAAACTTGACCTATGCTTAAGGACTTAGGATAACATCTTATTATGATTTACCAATTTCTTTTTTCCCTTTATTATCGATAACATACCTAGGTTCCTGCCTGGAGGTACTGGGCATCCACTCCTACTAGACACGATAGCACGTTAAGCGAAAGCTTCTTCTATTCCGTCCAAAACCATTTGAACCATTTGTTACTCCAGGATCATTCTCACCATTAAAAACTGGCTTGTTTTACCCTTCCGTTTAAGAAAAAGCCTAATAAAACTCATACATTTCTACTGTCAATGCTACTCTTCTATCACCCAGACACAGACCCCCAAGAAACCATTAGTTTATGAACTTTTTCTAAACAGGGATTGAGGTTTGAAGTTTATGATCGAGCGCGTTCGTATAGTTGGTTCGGACAGCGCTCCAGGGGTATCGCGACACTTTTTTGCGCTACTTTTTCATTTCTGCTTTATGCACAACCAAAATTCGAAATTAATTATGAATAAATTTGAAAGTCTATTTTCCGTTTTTATAATTAAGTGAAAAGGGGTTTTTTTATTTTGCGTTACATGGTATCGCGAAGTCCTTGGAAATTCATTATTCAGGTGCTGGTATAATAGTTTTTTAGTGTTTGCATCGTAGACTAGCTCTTATTTCTACTGAAGTATACACAGATGGTAGACAAATCTTTTATTTTTATATGAAATCGCATGATTGAGGCATATATCGTCATAAAAATTGTATTGTCGTCAAGGCTACCAAAACTGCGTTACAACTAACGATACCATGGTAAGATTTATCGTTTTTCCCATCTTTATCACAATTTCGGCTGATTTTCACTGTTTTGTCCGACTTTCATGGCAGAAATAGGTTGATAGTGAAAACATTAGGTGTCCGAGTGTTGTAAATATTATGTATATGCTATAGATGATAATAACACATACCAAGATGTTAATATCACCTTCTACAGTTAGATATATTAGCCACTAGATGATTATATTGCAGGAAATAAATCATAATCATGCGGAAGAGGTATAATTATGTGGAGATTTTACCAGAGACCAAGCTAAGATAGCATTACTACCTCTCGTGTAGATCTACACAAGTATTTGGCTGTACCAAAGCATGTCATTGAGATATGGTTGTGACTTTTTTTCTTTTTTTAATTCAGAACTCACGGGACGACTACCTGAATTCTCAATAGCCGTGCAATTGTTTTGATGTTCTACCTACATTTCAATAAACATTATTTTTCAAACAGCTTACTTTATTACTTACATGGGAAACTGTTGAAGTGTTGACAATGTGTGTTTGAGTTTCAGTGAACTTTTGATTAAATGCACATTCCTTATAAATAATACATCACTTGTTCCTTCTTTTGCAGATGATTTCAAATAACAATGAATTAGCAATTGCATTGGATATGCAAAACAATCGATGCTTAAGCTTCTGCTCTAGTGTTGTACAATAATACGCTTTACCTTTTAAATAAAAATTTTCAAAAATATGCCGGTTCTCCACTGTATTGCAGATTTATTTTGGTCTGTTGTTGAAAATAAAGGCGAACATAGGAGACCTTTGGGGTTATGTCAATGGATGGAAAATAGGTAGTTCTGTGTGTATTTAGGCGAAAAGTAGACAATTCAGCGGACATTTAGGCGATAAGTCGATAATTTGTCGACAAAAAGGTGAAAAAGGGGAAAATCGGCATTATTTCCCCCGGACAGGCGAAAAAGGCGACATTCTGATGCGTTTTTCACTTTCGCTACCAAAGCATTTACCCCCTTATTTCCCCTTTTTGGGTTGTCTGGGGAGCTACAATGTTTTGGCTGTCGGTATTATTGCAAAAATACCTAATAGCAGAAATAAGTACTGATATAAAGCTGTCACGAGAAAACACTGAAAAGTACGACTCGATAGTCAAGATATCTTGATCTAAGGTGACCAGATTGTGTGAGATCCTATGTGATGATCGGAAATCAACCAAGGCCTGTCTAGCTTACGTGCTGATGCCGTAAATGACAATTACTCATAACTTACGTGGGACTAGAATAGAATATGCATCAACAATTGCATGTTACACAGGACGATTCAAAGTAAATTCACACAGCAGTCTTTATATATGTTCATCGTCTAAGTTTCCGAAGTGCAACCTGTCCAAAGAATTAAATAATACAATCCGTGTATGTTGTGACCCAGACTTTCCTAAGCAACCCAAGAGATAAAGAAAATAAGCGTGATTGACTATCCAAAGGAAGGGTATGCTAAATGCACTTTCGATCTGTAATTGAATACTAGTTTCCGTTTTTATACTAGTTTCTGGTAAACATTTATACTGAAATAACTTCCCTGTCTATCTTATTTCCACCTAGCTTCGCAAGTGTTCACAGACGTAACGGGAACCATTCCTGAGAAATAGAAGTTATTTATTAATGGATCATTTGTGCTAGATTCAAACTTTAATAAACGTTTTCATTTATAACGCACCAGTCTTTTAATTACGGCAATTCGTATCTATCGTGACAGGTCGGAATTCGAACTACTAGTATAGTACACCATGTTCAAGGTAGCAGTATTTGGTGAACGGTATGTATGACTAATCGCGTGTGCGCCAAACTGGCAATTATTACACAAGCACGCGAAACAACATCCCTGTTTCACAGCCACATAAGACTGCACAGTACACTCCCTGCCGTTACGCTATAAGAATAAGTCAATGGCCATATAAACGAATTTATGTAAAACTAAAAAGATTACAATATTAGAACTTCTTGTTATCAAGAAGCATAGCTATGGTCTGTATTAACAATGGATTCTGACGTTGTAGCTTCGTCATCAGCACCGATTGAACTCATCACTTGTGAGCATATGTCTTCCGATGCTTCGAGGCATGAACGGATGAGTTTACTTGCCAAAGGTTCACTAAGAGCATGGATTGAGTGGTAGTTGCTGGTGAACTTCTCTAGCAGATCATCACTCCCTGTAGAGATTGAGATGTTGTCCAGCGCACGAAGTACCAGGTCCATTATGTATTTTCTTGTCCACTTGTTGCTATGCCGAAATAAGTCTACAAAACTTATAGAGATAAAGGAACACACATACCTTTAGAATGTGCATACAAAATATGACCAGAGGGCAGCACGTAGTCATTGAAACGCAATATTTCGACCTGAAGGATAAATTCATTTGAAGTAAGGCATACGTAGATGACCGACGTCGTCTCCTTTGCCTAGGTTGTGTTGGCGAGTTAGAAGTTGTAAGCTCTTCAGAAGAATGATTGTTACTATCCTCATCTACATCCTGAACGCGAGCATCTGACTCTGACGAACTGCGTTTACGTCCATGTGTACAGACATAACTCACGAAAAAGTACTTTAGAGTTGGATCATCACTGTTCTTTTTGTATACTGACATAAGGTACTTAGATTCAGATTCAGATTTGTGTAGTAAGGACAGAAGGCCTACGGCCTATGTTATTCCTTTTCTAGTATGCTTCTGTGAGTGTCCAGTCTTCTCTTGAAAGAGTCAATTGAAGGTGCGGATACCACTGCTTCAGGCAGCAGGTTCCAAGTATTGATGACTCGGTGTGAAAACCTGTATGCCAGGGGTATTTTGTTCGTTCTTGGCTTTTCTACTCGCCTGCTATGTCCTCTGAGGTGTCCCGATCTAGTGGGAAGGAAGAGAGAGAATAAGTTAGGTCCGAAATCATTTCTTAGTATTCTGTACATCAATATTAGATCTCCCCTTAGTCTGCGATAGGACAGAGTAAAGAGATTCAGTTTTTCAAGCCGCTCTTCATATGATAAACCCCGGAGTTCCGGAATCGCACGCGTAGCTGCCCTCTGTACCTTTTCTAGTATGTCTGAGTCACCTTTTAAACAGGGGCTTGCAGCCTGAACACAGTTCTCTAACTTAGTTCTCACTAAGGATGTGTATAATGTGGTGAACATGGTAGTATCAAGCTTAGTGAATGTCCTTTTTAAAGCCCAGAGGGTTCGAAACCCCTTAACTGCGACCTCCCGGCAATGGGCCGTCGTCTTAAGATCATTGCTCACTGTCACCCCTAGGTCCTTATGAGACCGGACTATGGGTAATGACACATCCCCTATGTTGTACGTATTAACCTTTGAATCCCCCAAGTGCATGTAGACACACTTTTCCGAGTTGATAGGCATTAGCCACTCTTTAGACCAGTTTATCATATTATTTAAGTCCGCCTGAAGAGTAAATGCGTCTGTGTCACCAGTTATTACTCGCCAAATTTTTACATCGTCAGCGTATAATAACATTGGAGACTGTACTATACTTGTAAGATCATTAACGTACATTATAAAAAGTAAAGGACCTAGGACGGAACCTTGGGGTACTCCACTAAGTACTGGTCTCCAGATGGAGCACTTGGAATTTATTCTTACTTTTTGCCTACGACCTACTAGGAAATCCTTAATCCATTTTAAAAGAGGTCCGGCAATACCAAGGTTTGCCAACTTCAATAGCAGTCTATTAGTTGGCACCTTGTCAAAAGCCTTACTGAAGTCTATGTAGACAACATCCACTGAGTTTCCGTTGTCTAGCGCATTAATCCAGAGCTCCCTAGCTATAAGGAGGTTCGTTGTACAGGATAGACCCTTTCTAAAACCATGTTGTGCCATGTTCAGCAAGTTATTGGTTTCCATAAATGCCGTTATGGTCCGTTTGATTATCCCTTCCAGTATTTTAATTACAACACTGGTGAGGCTTACGGGTCTGTAATTTGATGGAACTTGTCGTAGACCAGTTTTATGTATGGGAGTGACGATTGCGTCCTTCCAGTCCATAGGTAACACACCTTGGTCAAGTGACATTTTGAATATCACAGTCAGTGGGGCTGCGATATATTGGGCAATATGTCTCAAGATTTTAGGGTGTAGTTCATCTGGTCCTGTTGACTTCTCCATGTTTAGGGTGCTAAGAGCCTTAAGCACATCGTTTTGGTCGAAGTCCACGGTGAGCAGCTGGTTTGTTGACTCTGTAATTGGGTCTGGTTCTTTCTCTAGAGGAGGTTCCTGAGTGAAAACTGCCCCAAAGTAGTCAGCCATAATCTCAGCTTTTTCCTGATCTTCCTCTATCATTTCAGATTTACTTCCTACTTTAATTAGGTTGGGAATCCAGTGATGAGTCCTTGTTCTGTAGTTTATGTACGAGAATATCCTCTTGGGCTGCTTGAGTACAGATTCTGCCAGCTGCATTTCGTATTTTCTTTGCGCTTCCCGAATTTTAGTTGTACACACGTTTCTTATCGATCTGTAGCGTTCCATCGTACCTGCTATGCCAAGGAGGATTGCAACATCCCAGCATTTCTTCTTTTGTCTTAGTAAGCGTCGAATATCCCGCCCTAACCAGGGATGTCCGTGCTTCTTTTTCTTTGGGACAGTCCAGGGTATATATGGTTGAGTTACCCGATTGTATAACTGTCTGAATAGAGTCCATGCCTCTTGTACTGATGCCTTTGAGTCAATTTCCCAGTTCTCAGCCGATGCTGCGGAGTTGACTGACTCCATATCTGCCTTCCATATGTTAAGACGGGCCGGCGCAACTGTTTGACAAGCAATCTCAGCCATGAATTTGAATAAGATGACTGCATGGTGGGAGAAAAGCCTTTTGACCAACGTCATCACCGTGTGTAAAAACTAAGTCTAAAAGAGAAGAAGAGTTTCTTAAGTCGTACCTTGTGGGATCTCTAATGTGTTGGAATAATGCTAGTCCAATCGAGGTTTCTAACAGTTTGGAGTCGAACGACGATATAGATGACTCTACTTCTAAGTTAACCCAGTTTATATATGGTGCATTAAAGTCGCCTACTACAAGGCTTTTACCGTTGTTACACCAGGACTTAAGTTTACTGAGGAGAAAATCATCTGCTACACATTCGGGACTGCGATAAACTACAACTAATTCAATATCTTGCCTTCGGCATTTCAACTTACATCTCACCAGTTCACATGTCCCTGAAACATGTGCTACTGTCTCAGCTAATCTTATGGTTAGGCTACTTTTCGTGTACACAATAACCCCGCCTCCCCTTCGGTTTAATCTATCAGCCCTACTGGTTATGAAACCAGCCAATTGGATTTCACTATCTAATACTTCTGACGTTAACCAAGTTTCCGAGACAGCGATAACGTCCGGTTTTTCTTTATCCACCACTGACTTCAGCTCCGCCATTTTATTTAGTAGGCTGCGAGCATTTGTGTAGCACACTTTTAAGTCTGTGGAGAGCTTTCCCTTGCCACCCAGAGTGGCTTGGGGATCGTTTTGCTCCGAACTTTTACAATCTGAAAACCCTTAAGAACGAGGTTTCTTTCACCATTTCGGCGACGCTCGTTTATTTCCGCTTCTGCAGCCCTTCTCTTAATACGATCAGCTAGGCTGAGGTCCTCACGGACATATATTCCGGACCCAATCAGTTTACGTGAATTACTTAGAACCAGGTTCCTTAGTATGCGTATACTAAAAAAATAATTACTAACCACAGAAGTCATATTACATATATCATGCATCGTCACGATGGCATCGTCTTCGTTACTTGAAGAATGAACGTTACCAAACATGGTGTGGCTGAACTCAATTCAAATCTAGAAATGTCTCGATTTGACCGCTTCTGAAATCTTTCACGAATTGTCGACGTGACGCACCAATCATTTTGCGACGGTTTGACCTTCAAGTGCTCGCAACCCCTATCAGTGGACGATACCCTAGGAGCGTTGCCGTTGGTTCGTTACTTTCAAATTGATGGCGATTAGGAGGAGAGTGGATGTCTTGGATCCAGACTTTACTGCTATAAGACGACAAATATCCAAACTAATGCAACATAGCATTCACGATTGTAAAAGCTTTCTCTTGATGCTAAAATCATTGTTTCCGAGTTCAATAAAGTTAGAAGTAAACGTCTAATAATGTATCACACTTAGATAATTGAGTATGAACTTATGCAGGAGTATGGAGACGCTACTTTGGCAGCTGAAATTCTGTGTCGTCTGTAATCTTGTTCTATATCATATTAATCATGTAGGTATGAAACTCAAAGGCATCTTGATATGACACAGATCGAACTTCTTAGCAAAATAGTTAAGGATCCTACTGATAAAGTGTGTTGTGGTAAGTTTGTTTGCATACTTAACTCCTTTACCAGATATATTCTCGCACATCAACCCATCGCTACAGAAGGATTTGACATTATCTTACTTCAACCAGATGTCCGATGAGCTGGGAAGAGCGGAAAGCATTATTTTTCTACTGAATCTTAAAGACGTAGTCTTTTACCCTCAGGTTCTACCCGTACTTTTGGCACTGGTTTATCAAAGCCTCATAGACGGTGAGCTCTCCATGCATAAGAGTAACCGAATCTCAACCAGCAGTGGTATAATGTGCCATTCATCACCCGCAGATAACTATGGATCGTTAATAAAGTAACTGGTTCAATGTATAGCTTAGGTTTTAGGAATGAGAACGTTGACGAGGGTGAAGAGGGAGAGGTAATGGGATGTGATGACGAGGACGAGTTTGCGGATGAGCTTGACAATCCAACTCCCGAGATCGGAGATAACTCTTGGACTGATATATCTAGTTCAATCCTCAATGTTTATCGTTTCAAGATAACTTATGAATTACTTCCACTAGCGTACAAGGTAATCTCTATTAAAGAAATATTTGCTTTCTAGGCTAGTTCTTCCTCGAAAATGGATAAAAACGTCGTCTACAAGATTTCGGTAACTTCAATCAATTTTCTGGTTACATACATAACACATGTCCCAGCGAACCCATCTATCGAAGGATTAGAAAAAAACGAGCTATTAGCTAAGAAGGATCCAAAAAATTACATGACAGACTGTTTAAAAATGATAGGGCATTTATTACAATGGCCTATCGCTACGTTCGACTTTACATCTAGTAAAACTGCATCCTATCTTGTTCAGCAGACTAGAAATTTGTTTCGGGAGGCCAAATCTTCATTTGATAGTGTGTCAACAAAAAAAGACTCGCGATCTGGTCGTAAACTGTCTTCGTTCTCTTTAAGTCATAAGTCTCATGCCATCGTTTTTCAGGCTCTGTGTATGTTTTGGTACACATTTGTTGATTTAAGTGCAGCTTATTTGCACAAAGTTCACAACAGGATATTTGAAGGTAGTGTAGAAAATAGCACTTCACCTAGAGTTTTATACTTGCCTATCAACCTAGATATTCTATTCAACTCAACTTCTCATAAAAATGTTTCTTTTGAAAATGAAGAGATGACTCTCTTAAAGCACATACATGAAGTCTGGAGTCTTCGTGAATATACTTCTGCCTCATACTCATTTGGCAGCAAGGAAATAGATTCGTTGGATAATGTCCATCCTCACTCAAATAATTCATCCGAATTCAACCAAGAAACACTGTTTGAGCAAATTATTCGTCTCCACTTTGCCATTAGTGGCCTGAATAATAATTCGCAGGAAATAATATGGGCTTGTAATTTTGTGAAAAAACTCAGAGACCAGTTGAAGTCAGTTTCTCTTACATCCGCTAACTATAACTTATATAATAATGCAGAACTTAAGCTTATATCCTGGGTTCTTCAGATGCTTTTGTTATCTCATGATCATGATAAATTTAAGGTCGTGGTGAAGTCAGAAGCATGTAATGGGTTGTGGGATCAATTCCTTCAAGATTTCAAATCGCTGTCATTACTTTTTAACCACAGTAAAGATGAGAAGATTTGCATCCAAAACATTTGTCCTCTCGTACCATTCACTCGTCAGTGTATAGTTTTTATCGTGTCAAAAACATTAGCAAATTACCTGTGTACTATTTCTCGACGAACGACAAACCCGACTCTTGCTGTCGATTCCGCTTGCTTGGCATGTATACTTTGTCAAGTCGATGGAAAGTTTGGTGATATTTCTCATCCGGCCGCTCAGTGGCCATCTCTGTCCCCATACCTCTCGGAAGTAATACAAACTCATTGGGTTGATATACGAGATCGTTTTTTAAAGTGGATCATATCTCCCCATACATTCATTTTCGACGTTGACCTGTTAAACACTATTTTCCGATTGGAATCCAACGCTGGGACAGGTATTGATTGGTAAGTTGGTTATTCGTTCTCCATATTTTAGGTATCACAATAACTTTGCAAGATATTTCGTTATTTTTTTTGGCACCATAACCATTAAATTTCCCGGTTATTACGAATTTATGTAATCAATTTGCTGTCATTCATATAATGTCTTTTTTCTTCATACGTATTGGGTAATGAATTTTTTCCCTTTTATTCAAAATCAATAAATCGCTCGGCTCTCCTCGAAATCTGTCAGGTTTTTGAGTCCTGAAAAACTTTATTGTTCCATATGTTCTTCAACCATAGGAATGCTTTGCCAATCTTCACCTTTACGTCTGCATCAGATCCTCTACGTCCATCCATGATGCTGTCTGGGTACGTGAAAGTTCCCACCTCTTCCAGAGTTTCTCCATCAAGTATGGTTGATTGGGTGTTCTTGTTGTATTTGAGAATTTTGTTTTTTCCCTTGTGTGTTGAAGCGTACTGATGCAGAGACAGCTGCTACACTAGTTGTCTTCATCTGCGTTAGTTGGTGTGTATGTGATAGAAGGTTCAGGTGATGTTCTATGAAGTCGAAATCGTCTAGTTGCATCCAACCTGTCTATTGTATTCCGTGCTTCCTCTCAGATGTTGAGGTCATCATAATCCAGTCAACCACCAGAAGAAAGAGAAAGGGTGGGAGTAAACAGTTATATCTGACACTGGTCCTCAATTGGAATGCGTTTGTCAGCTATCCTCCTTGCACGACTTTGCAGTGTAATCCGTCACATGAATTCCGTATGATGGTGACGATCTCCTTAGGTACTCCATAATGTCGGAGAAGTTTCCATTATAATCTATTCACACTGTCAACTGCCTTCTCATAGTCAGAGAAGTTGATGTATAGTGACGATTTCCGTCCAATTGTTTGTTCAACGATGAACTGTAGTGTTCCGACTTAAGTCAGTGCACGACCGAACCTCACAGAATACGGCCTGGCAATCTCGAATATGGCGTCTACTGAATCTTCTACGCAGTTCAGCATCACTGTTGAAAACTTTTCCTGGTACTGACAATAGTGTGATGCCTCTGTACTTCTCACATTTGCTCAGATCTTCCTTTGGAATCTTGATGTATTATTCTTCTCAGTCTTACGTCTTTTGCTCTTTCCAAGTGTTTCTGGATAGAACGTGGAGCATGTTTTCAGTTACTTCTCCCTGTGATTTCAGTGCTTTAGTTATTATGTTGTCAGGTCTTGCCTCCCCATTCTGATAGTCACGCTCATTTCTTCTATCGTTGGTAGGGTAGAAGTTATGAGAAGATCTTAAGTTGCTGCTTCGATGTCCGATGACCTTCTGATTTTTTTAGTTGTACAAATATCTATCTGGTCCTCTGTTGTGTGGTCCGGTGAGACCCATGTTGCTTTGTGTATGCATTTGTTTGGGAAAATTGTGCCACCTATAACCATTTTGTCGAATGCATTTAAATTCGCAAAACTTTCACCATTCTCGTTCCTTGCAGTCCATATCGTCCCATGATGTCTTCATACCCTGTGTTATCCATTCCGGATTTGGCGTGTAGATCTTCCATCAGGATGGTGAGTTTCTTTCCTAAACACTTCTCTATAATCAATTGTAGCTTCTTGTGGAACTGATCTTTATCATTTCTGTCATTGGTGGACGCACAGCACTTGATAATATTCATTGTAATTCCCTCGTTTGTTTTGAATGATGCTTTGATAATTCTGGATCCATGAGATCCCCATTCTATAAGTATTTTCCATTCTTTTTTGAACAACATCAGAGCAACTTGTGTGTGCGAAACATTTTCTTTATGATCAGTGTACAGCATCATCCCTTTCGAATATAACCTTTTCTGTCCATCTCGGGTCCACTGGTTTTGCTGATTTCAAGCACTGTCAAGTTGTATCTCCTCATTTCCGTTGCTACTTGACTGGTCCTCACAGTCTCCCACATTGTCCAGACGTCCCGTGTGCCTCCAAAAATTGTTGCTGTGGTTGTTAAAAGGGACATCGGCCTCGTGATTTCCTAAGAATCTCAAATTTCACCATGAGGCGTCATAATTTTTCTGAATGAAGATCCTTCAACTTGGTGGGCAAAGTTTAAACATTTTAATTTGTTTATTCTGGTCAGCGTATTTTTAGCAAGGTTGTTTTCTATGGGATGGGAGAGCTGACCCCATGCTTAATTCTCCTCCTTTATGTGGTCTTGGTACCGAGAGTAATTCCAGAAGAGCTACAGGCGGAGTTACCTTAATGCATACCAAGCAGCAACACACCTAAAACCCGTCTTATCCTGAATAAGTTCAGAGCGGCAAACTATTTAATCGTACTTGGAAATTCCGCTTAGGAGTATAGGATTTTCCCTAAGCCGCTTAGATTATTTAATCAAAATCTTGAAGTAATTACCTTCCACCGCTAAAAGGTTATATATGCAAAACAGGCATTCTAGTTGCTTAACGTTTTGAGATGTTACTCCAGTTAATGAATATGGCGTGACACAGAGTTGGACCGACAAACAATGTCATATATGTGTCCTGCTGCTTAATATGCGT